GGGAAAGAGAGAGAGGGAGAAATTAAGTACAATGGAAATTATCTACGCCGGTAAATTAATTGCGTTCTACGATAGAGGGGCAACAACGTTGGCCCAGATTTTTAATGAACTCGAAAAATCGCTTGGAACTTCTCTACGGTGCATAAATATCAGAGCAGAAACTATACACTATATAGTGATGACCGAGGATGATATTATTTTAATCTATTCTCGTCTATCTTTCATTATTCATCAGGATCGTTGAATCGTCCGTTGCTTAAGCACGAGGAATGCGACGGCGAATTATGTGCAATAGCATAAGCCGCAGTTTCCGAGTTGCTGTTTTATAGGAAACTCTTCGCCATCGTGGAAACCGTAAAATGCTTTAAGTCCAGACCGTTCGATCCCGTTCGGACGAGATGCTGCCTTATGATTAGTGGACGATTAATTGTTAATTAGTGGAATTTCGACACGGTCAGGCTGCGCTTATTAGCACGGTCATGGTCTAATTACTCGATCATAGAGACCTTGTACGCGTTCACGTCTCTGGTTTTGAATGCTCCCGCTTTCGGTTCTTAGTCGTGTCTTCCGTGTATCGCATAACCCCTCTTCAGCACACGTTGGTAAGGCATCGGTCATTCCGCGCATGCGCGTCGATCAATGGACTGCGCTTGCGCCGATATTCGAAGAGAAATTTTAATGCTTTTTAAAAGCCTTTCCAAGAGAACGATAATCTTTGATAATAGTGGAAAGTTTCATGATGTACTATAATCGTAATTTGATCGTAGCTTGATCGTGGTTTATTCGTGCTTTCCTTCGGGTAATACGCTGAAAAAATAGAAAAGTAACAACGTAATGGAGGAAAGAGAAAACGTCGTGTCGTTCGTAAAAGACAATGGTTTGGTACAATTTCATAACGAACGACATATCGTGTGCTTGCATCGCAACGATTTTCCAGCGCATGCGCATTAATCAAGAAATTGCGCGTCGTTACCGCGCTCGGCGCCGCGCGAAATTTGAAAATAGGTTAAAGAGAGAATCTTTGGTAAGAATTGCGGTGATACAATTTTACACGTAACATTCTGCCACCTTTGCTTTTACTATTACCACGATATGATTTCTGTACATTCGCTTATTCCTATCCGCTTCAATCGCGCTTGATATATATCTAATTAATCGGTATAACGAAATGTACAATCTCTAGAAACAATCTCGACGATTTCCATTGTAAACAACTTCGATCGAGCGATTTTTACATTTATAATTTATAAACTGATTTTCACGATTTCTTAGAAATTATAACTGCTGATTTACAAGAAAATTTTTAATACTGTTGCTCGTAGCGGATCTATCTTATTCATTTGGCATCTCGATAAATTGCACGCGTGTCGTAGTTCCGCTAATTAAACGCTTCTAGAAACTCGAGAAATTCTATCTCCATGTTCGCGATCCCGCTAACGAGTCTGTCGACTGTTCGCGGGAATTTTACGGGAATACTTTATTCCCTATTTATACGAGCCTTTCATTAAATTCATGTCCCGTGTAAATAGAAAATACGATCGATTGAACAGTCTCTGATCTGCAGTCGCTACGAGACGAATCGGTGAGCAAACGACGAGCATTTTTGCAGAAATTTCGAGCCGTGGTATTAATTAATACGATTGAAAATAATGAAAAGCAAATCATCGTTCCGGACTGTAGGTCTCGGCATAATTACAACAGGAACTTCCTTCAGTTTCATATACTTTGTATCAGGAAACCATTTGCAACGGGAGACCCAACGAAAGCGTTCTCGTTAATGCAACTGAAAACGAGCTAAATTGAAACATTCGTTTCAACTGTCAGAAAATTGCATAATTATCATTGAATTAACTTTATAAACCCTTTAACATAAACAAGTTAATTTATCATTTAAAAATACCTGTCTCTAGTTTCTGCATAAAAACAGTTTCACGCTCCAACAGAAATTTCTTTCCTTCACATTATTAACTCGGATCGTTTTTGTAATTATACATACACTATTAACATTAGAATGTTAACGATCTGTAACGTGCACGTAAACGTACTCTACACAGGTAATAATTAATATTATAACAGAACTACGTACTGCTTTCAGATTCTCTTTTTTTCACGGTTACAGAAAACGAACTACATTTTTACATTTTTACTTCTGGTATTTTAATTAATATATAATCCCGCCTCTGTGTCGGTCGAAAAATAATTACGTCAAATCATCGCACGATCTTCACGCGACACCCAGTATGTAAAAGGACAGAGATCGAACCGCATAGTTTTATACGCGATTTCATAGTATATTCTCCCGCTTTCGCGACAATGTGCATCGCGAAATGAATGGAAAGGGACGGGAAAATCGAGGGCCGAGCGAAAATCAAGAGACGCGCGACGCATGGTTAATTAGCGCGGTCGATTCGCGACGCGATTTGCCGATGCAATCGAGAGGACGGCGAAACAGGGGAGGAGAGGCCGGCACAGCGGAACACACCGGATATCCGTTTTGACGCGCGTCCCCGTCTGTTTCACCGACGTGCACGCAGCTGCGTGCAGGACAAAGGGCCCGTGACATCGGTCGTGCATCGAAATTCGCTCGCGTACCTCGAATGGAAGCGGTCATTCCTGAAAACGCGCGCGAAACCGACGCTGTGCGACGCTGAACCGTGGACGCGAACGATGCCGGGACGCCATGTTCGCCGTGAAGATCGTTTACTGTCAGGTGACGATGGAGTTCGCGGAGAACGACGAAGATGCCAGGTACCATTTATATTTTATCCGTGATTGGTTAGAACGATACGCGCGAACGTGATTGTAGGTAAATTTAACCAGTTAGCTGTGGCACCCCCTTTGAGAGCGCGCACCCATATGCGTCGCGAAAATCGAGCAATGACGAGTATACTCGTCGATCAGAGAATAAGTGTCGCTGTTAAAATATTGGATCAAAAAGACGAGTTTATTTTATAAAATTCACAATTTTATTACTATTATTTACTTATTTGGTTAGCATCTATTCTCTTATTGGTTAGTTTTTATGGATTTCTATGAATTTTAGTGTTCGTCAAAAAATAGCTAAGTAATTTTGGGCCAGCAGCCATTATGGGCTCAGCGTCTGATCAGTGTCACGCATTTGTCCTATGGCGGACCATCCCTGAAGGAACCCTATCATAAATCAGCTTTCCGGCTTCTGCTTTTGCCCCTTTTACGCTGACATCTAAAACACGTTATCATCGCGCATAAATAAATTCGTTATGCGAACTGATAAGCTGTTTCATCGGTGCATACAGAGACGCATGAGTTCATCTCTAATTATTCATACTTTTCATTCGTTTGTTTCATTCCGACCTGACCTCAAAATATTCTAAATATCTTGAAATTTGAGAATATGTTTTATTTTTCACAAAAATTACAATTTAAATAGCCAATGGTCACTACTTTTTACGCATGGCGAGTATACTCGTCGCGACACAAACTCCTGATACTTCTCCATGACGAATATACTCGTCAATCACAGCTAACTGGTTAATCGAGACTGAAAGCACGAATGTCCAAATTTTTGAAAAATAATTTGTGACGTTCCGTACAAATGCGTCGATAAAATACATACGGTGAGAATTTAGAACGGGTACTTTCGTTGTTGGGTATTGGCAATAATGGTTTATTTATTTGATAGTAAATAAGTGGAGAAATTATGGAGAAATTATTATTACAATTAAAAATCAATTTTTCATTTGGGTAACTGAATAGCATGGCTGATGGGGAAAAGGTAAAAAAAGCAAAAGGTGTAATTATAGAAAGTTAATTGAGCAAGATCTTGCGGATTACAGTTTCGAATGAAAAGTTGAAGATCTTTTATCTGTTCGAGACGAACAACAGGATTTAATACAATCGAGTTATGTTGACAGTGAAAATCCACGTAAACGCTTTATCGCAGCATTAGCATTGATATTAAAAATTACTTCTCGTGCATGTTTTATTCATGCAGTTGCTGAAAAAACATGGAACTTTTTTTAGCAATATTAACATAATCTTCCAGTGAGATAGAAAGATCATTATATGTATAGATAGTTAATCATCTTTGACGTAACACTTTAATTATTGTCAATTGCGTGCAAAATATTTATGTACACGGTACAGTCGATAATTCTAATCTCAAGTACCTACAGCCACAATCCGAAGACGCTCTTGAGTGTAAGTGACATCAATGGCGTCAGTTTGACATCACCCAGATCCCTGCTTTAATAGAATAATTTACGAGCGCATTGTATCGTTCGAACTAACTATATCTCAATTGTCGTGATATATAATTGTTCAATTGGTATTCTTTTTTAAGAAAATCCAACTATAATTCTTGTACCGATATCCAAGACTCTAGCAACGCTTATGAGCACGGTATTACGATACCCGATCGAATATTATAATACTCTGTATAGCAATTTACGATATCGAGTAGCATAAACGCGTGGGTAATAAATTACGATTGTTCGCGAGACTATAAGATGAAAAGTTGCCTAAAGACGCAAACTACCAACGCTTACTAGCACGGTACTACGATACCTGATCGAATATTATAATACTCAGGATAGCAATTTACGATATCGAGTAGCATAAACGCGTGGGTAATAAATTACGGTTGTTCGCGAGGTCAGAAGATGAAAAGATTCTTAACACTAGATTTACGGAACACGTCAATTTGACGGAAGGGTTGATCCAATTATACGATGGTAACAGATATAGTTAACTTATATTAAGATTGTTAATATAATATATAATTGTTTTTAAATTAGCCCAATCGTTAAAACAAAAAAGG